CGCTCCTTCCTGTTTCCTCGCCGAGACAACGATCAAAGACGCGGCCGTTCCGATCTTCATCGGGTCTACCGTCGAGTAACTCCGTGTTCGGACCCGGTGTTACGTTTGCTCCGTGAAAAATTTGTCAAAAATACACCGTTCACCCCGGGGACGCAGCCCGCGATCGATTCTCCGCGAAACCTTCCGCCCGAACTTCGATTTTCCTCGCAGACACGAACGAACGGGGAAGCGACGCCGTTCGGAGGCTCGTTCCGGATCGTTCTCGAGCGAATCAATGAGAACAGTGTAAAGAGTTAAGTGTGCGTACCCAGTGAGCTACGGATAAACGGAATTTCAAGGTAGTACTGCGACGCCGAACGGCGAACGTTCCCCGAGATCCGGTGACGCGTTCGACGAACGGGCTGCTCCCGGGGATCGGTCGCGTGATTGTTGAAGTAGCAGTGCCCGGTTCCAAGTTCTCTCGATTTGGTACGGCTGGAGAACGGCGGTTCGCTCGTCGGTGACGCCGGCCGTCGAACAAACTCCCGCGAAACAAATCCTCATCGTTGGTTTCGATCGCTGTACGCGTCACGCGCGCCTCTGCTTTCCCTATTCAATGCAACGATGCGAGAGTGTGTCGTATCCTGTCGCGCGTCGTGATTCGAAGATTACGCGTTCGCAGAAAAAACAAACAGAAAACGAAAAAGAACTGCGGGAAACAAAGATCGCTTTCCGGGGGGAATGATCTTTCGAGCTGAACGACGACTACCCGCCGCATTCCGCCTCGCGCGATTGTCACCTGGGGCAGTCGACCGCCGAGGGGTTGGACAATTCTCCTTTCCTTCTTCCTTGTCTCTTGTCTCTTTCCGTTTCATTTCCTTCCCTTCTTCCTTCCCTTTTTGGATCGCGTCTGTTCGCTCGTCTGCCCTTCCAGTGTCGCTGCGACTCGAGCGTACCGTTTTCCCGATACTCCCGTCCCGAGGATTCTACCCTTCTACTCTATCGACCGATCTTCACTCCCCATTAGCAGATAATTCCTCAACGATCCTCCCCTCGACGAAGCATCTTTCGTCACCTCTCCTTTCAAACCGTCGAACTCACCCCCGAAGAGAGTGTCCGTGCGAAACAATAGAATTGAAACTCTAGACTCTAAACTAAAGCGCAGCGATCAATTTGACTGCTGCTCCTTTCTTTCAAAGAAACAAAAAAAACTCTCGTTACCATTAAGTTCAAGGGTGTTGGACACTAAGAGAAAAAAGCTCGAACAAAAGTAGAAACAAGGATACTTCTTCCAACCCTCCGACTACTCCCTCCGCAGTTGTCACGTTCAGCGACGATCGCCTTTAGGCGTCGACGGACTCTCGTCGGACGTCCAAAGGCGTTGTCGCAGCCGGAGGGTTCAAAGGTTCCGCCTCCGAGGGATCGCGCGTCAGCCCTTTGCGCCCTGAAGCCACTTCGAGGTATCTTTCATCGAAGGTCCGCTGCGAAGCCGATACGCTCGGTGTTCTAGATTCCATGGTGCCCTCTGCGTCTTCCGCAGAGTTCGTTACATTCTTAGAGAAATGTAATAAAGCCATTCTAAATCAACCGTGGATCATCATTTAAGCGATATCGAAAGGTTCGAGGCTCGAACACTGGCAGCCCATATAGAGGATACCCTAAATGCGATGTCCGACCAGCGATAAAGAGCAGCAAGGACGATTCAGGGCGCAAAGGGGTGGCTCGAGGCTCGATCGAGTCGACGCGAGCGATGCTCCGATGTTCCGATCGAGGGCTGCTAAACGGAACCGAGGTTCCCGCCGGGCAAGCGTGTCCGTCGTTCCCCGTTTCGCTGAAATGTCAGGGACACTGGAAGGGTGGACGCAGCGACAGACGGACTCGTCAATCTCCCGGTTGCAGAGCGATTTTACCAGAGGCCGGATGAGTAGCCGCCGGGCGGGACGCGTGTGCGAGCCGGACCCTTCGCCGCCGGCGACGAGTCGTTCGATTTCTCGCCGACGCTCGAGCTCGAGCTGGACGTCCCGTTTTGCACGGCTGGCCCGTTGCTCTGCGGCTCCGCGTAGCCAGTCCCAGTCACCGGATTACCATCTGCGAAAAACACGATCGTTCTTAAGTGCCTGATCCCCCATACGTTCATTCACCCTCTTTTCTTCCCTCTTCTTCCCTCTTCTTCTGTTCTACCTCGCCTCCGTCCTCTCGACTCCGAGAGGGCGGAGGGCACGTGGACGCACCCTTGAGGTCCTCGTGCGCGTTGGAACCTGCGGCGATGGAACTGATGAGCTCGAGTCATCCGAAGTTTCATGATACTTGAAGCGAACAAGGCTCGAACCCATCGCTACGAGTGATGGGTTTGTCTTAAATGGTACACGTTGCAATTCGAAGCGAACGAGGCTGGAACCTACCGGTTGCGATGCATGGGTTCGAAGCTTGTTCGATTGAACGTAACGTGCATGAAACCTCGGAGTCTCGAATCCATCGCGTAGATTTCAACGCGTACGGGGATCCGAAGAGGCGCTTCGGATGTAGGCGTCGAATCGTTCACGCGCGATTCTTATCGTAAGATCACGTCGAGACGGATCGTTCGTCGCTAATCACTTTTGCAGTTTCGAATCGTTCGAAGAGAGATTTCGCAATGTGCGTCTCTGCACAGCGATATCCCGTAAGTTTCTATTGTTAGAATCAATCTCGAACGTTCCATCGTGTCACGAATACCGTTACTCCGGGGTTAAGACGCTAAACCGTTGAATTTTCATGCGAGTTTATCGGAACAGAGATACCGCAACGAAAGTGGAGAGAAGACTTTTTGCGGCGTTCAATCTTAATCAGCGCCGGTGCGGTGGTTCCGATCGATCTACGATTTCCATTCCCCAATGTGGACCGATGTTTTTTCACCGTCGGCATGCAATCAGTCTCGCTCGCGTAAAAACGGGCGCGTTGCGCGAGCGAGTTTCACGGGAAAATTGTGAAATCCGCGGCGAACGTCGGGCAGCGTTTTTACGCGGCCGGCAGACCACGGCGTTTTCGAACACCGAACGCGACAGAGAGGTGTCCGCATGCTGCGCCGCTTTCAAACCTTCCGATTGTTTCGATCTACATCCGTTCTTAGCTCGTTTCTCGCCTTTTCGTCGCTATGTTTCTTGTGGACGGATCGATGGAGGACGCGAGAGAGGCCGACGTGAAGGGGCGAGGGGCGCGCGAGGTGATTTACTTGGCAGGCAATTAAACGTGAAATGGAAAGGATAACCAGTCGGGTTCGATGCACTGATCAAAAGATACGGGAGCTACTCGGAGAGCTTAGGCTACGCAAGACAAGAAATGCGTGTTTCTACCGTGTAGAGATATGAACTTACCGTTCTATTACCGTACTATATGCGCTGACCTATGAAAACTTGCCCGAGAATCGCTCGAATTCTCGCCTGAAAACCTGTCTTACTCGTTTAGCCGCGACAATAATAGCCGGCAAAAGGAATTCGAGCAAATTCCCTGGCAAACGGGTGATGAGTATAGTGCGAAGGGGTTGAACAGTGGATGGACGCGTTCGCAGGAGACTGGTACAACTTTCAATTATCGCGATATCGTATGAAACCGATAAAATGTTTCCATGAACATTGCATATCTTTTCCACGTGGATTCCATCCTCCTGCGAATCGGACGAAGATCAAGACCATGGGAAGGGGAGCTGATTTTCTTGGAGAAAGAAACATACTGCGAGTAACCAAGTCGCTAAGTTATATATACCACAGTTGCAACTAACGTATGTACACAACAAACAGAAAAAAACACACGCTTGTAAAGTAAAGAGAACGACGATCCTCTTCCCCGGCTGCGAAGATACGGAAGACCGTCGACGAAGGTCGAACTAAGGAAAAAGAAGCGATAAGTCGAGTCTATAAATAACGTTTCGCGAAACAATGAGAGGATCATCGCCGGATGACCCGTTATCGAGTCGCTGCGACGACTCTCTGCTACCTCGCGATTCGTTCGCGCGATTTCTTCTTTTTCTTCGATAAAGAGGACTCTCGCGTTAACGCTAAACCTACCGAGTTAAACTGACCTTTCGAAATTCCTTTATAGCGACTACAAGAGTGCGTCTCTGGAAACTTGAATTGGCTTAGAATTCAGTTTACGTATTGCTAAGTCAATTTCTTTAACCGTTTGTCAAAGAAACATTTGTTATCTTTTTAAAAATTGAAAACAAATCAGGAATGGGTCATTTCGACCCGTCTGGTAGTTTTAGTGTCAAGTCGCGACGCTCCCATTGCGATTCCCGTCTCGACTGCTGCAGGCTACGTCGAATTCGTTCGCGAATGGCGTCGTATAGATCGAATTCCTCTGAGGAGATTAGGAAAATCCTCAACTTTCTTACAAGATGCACCGATATCGACTGAAATTCCCAGAAAAAATCGGAACGTTCTTCACGTGATCCTTGTCTTTCCCATAAGAGTTCCAAGTAAATGTGCAGTTCCAGACTTTCCCAATTCCGACTGATAACGACCGGCTAATTAACGATATTTTTCGCAACTAACACAATTGATTATCTTCTATAAATTAAGAGAGAACTATTTTACTTCGATGTTTTATGCGTTGACACATTACACAAGATTTAACCCCTTGGCCTATGATTTCTTGCTCAACTCTGTCGATGCGGCTACTTTGTCATTAATAATTTACTGGAAGAAGAGAAAAATTCTAAGCATATGTTGTGTCTACAATAATATTCACTTTGAATTCGAATGAACCGAGTAATACATATATTCGTTGAATCAGGTTGAAAATGTTCGAGTCTCACTCGTTCTAGGACAAGGGGTCAATACTGAATTGAAAATTTTATAAGTTCGCTGCGTCGAATCGGGTGGCGACTGTAACCCCTCGAGTGCAAAGGGTTAATAAAATATAAGAGACAGTCGGGAACCGTGGGAAATCCGAACCGCACACTTACGCGCAGAGTTCACCTGAATCTCGCGAGATCGTTTCTTCTAGTAGAACCTAAGAGAATGAAAACAGAAAGTAAAAGGAGCAAAACAAAACCAGAGAAAAACACACACAAAAAAAAATAAAGCGAGACGCGTGGGTCTCGCTGGAAAAGGGGGGATGTGACAGAGAGTCGAGGGGGTTGCGTGTGTCGGGGGCACGACGACGGCGTGGTGTGGCTGAAAGAAGATCGTTGGTCGGATAAAATGAGCAAAACTGGTGGCAGACGTTACCTCGACACCTTCGTGCGCTGCGCCTGATCGGCGTCACGTCAATTCCGTCGCCGGTGACCGGGTTGCGCGTTATGCAAGTCGATCCACCTGGCGGGGGTGTTTTCGAGCGAGTAGGAAGGCACAGAGGACGGCAGATCACAGGCCGGTGCACGCAAAAGCGACACGCACCAGAATTCACCACCACCACCACCACCATCACCATCATCATCATCATCATCATCATCAAATCATCAACATCATCAACATCATCAACATCATCAACATCATCAACATCATCAACAACATCACAAACCACCCCCATGCACCGAGAATGCCGTAGCGAAAATAAAACGCCCGCAACCGTCACCCAAACGCAGTGTTACACGAGACAATTTGGACGAACTAGTTCCAAGACACCGATCGCTACGGTGAATAAATCGTACTGTTAAGCGATTAACACTAGGTTTACGGAACGCGTCGAATTTACGCCGATTTTGATCGAGATCACACTGACGTGTACACCAATTACCTACTATCGAATCTCCAGTTTTCATAATCTAAATAAACGAGCATCGATTCTTTTAGGAATAGTAGAATTAAGTGTACAATAAATGTCTGTAAACCTAGTGTTAAGAGGTCAGTTAACACTAGAACTACCGAGCATTTCAAGCGAGTGAAATGTAGTTCATAAAATCGTGACGATTAGTTTTGGTTTCTTCGGATAGTTGTTAGAGTATTCGAATGGAATTTTATTTGGAGATCGTTTCGAATGTTCAATGATTTTGGAATGTTTCTGAATAATTGGAGGCGTACGTAGGTATGCGTGAATTTGGATAATTGGTAATTTCGATAATTGCAACGCAGACTTTGGTAGTTTTGGTGTTAACGAGTCGTGCTTCGAAAGCATTGCTGTTTGCTGATACCATGCTCGAGTTTGAAGAGTGGTTTCTCGAATGTACGGGACAGTGTTTGCATGGATCGAATAAATTGAAAGGGGAGTGATGAAACCGTCAGTGGATGAGTCTTTCGGGGAAGATCATTCGAAACGTAACAAGGATGAAGATGAGAATCAGAGAGAAATGAGGGAACGTGAAAATGAATCAAGCCGAGTGTCAAATCGGACAAGTATCGTGCATCGATTGTCTTCGGATCTGATGTCCTGTTATGGGACAATGATTTAATTATCCATCGAAATACTCCGTCTCGACCGTGAATATCCGCGAGTCCGATGTCCCGGATGAAATTCGTCCAAAGGAGAAACACAGATTACGAAAATACACGGGGAACCAAGTGTTACACTACGCTAAAAATGTACAAAACAAGGCAAGCGAAAGCAAACGAGACAATCGTCAAAGGAAACGTGTTGATGGTGTTAACCCTTAGGACTCTGGGTTGTTTTGTAATATCAAAGATATTAATCTTTAAAATAAAAATTAATAATAAATGTTTATAGTATTCCCAGCGAAAATGAGAAATGCTATAACATTTCTTCTTTTATTTTCCTTCTTACAAAATTCGGATGTGGAAGATCGAATAATTTTAGGGTAGTTTAAGATTCATTAAAATATTTTACAACTGGTGCAATATTAGAGCCTACAGAGTTCAAAGGGTTAACGGGCACAGAAACAAACGAAACACGTCACGCGTGAAAACCCAGGCAATCGAACACATGGAAACCATAGAAACAATTCGAGGTTCGTTAAGAAACGTTAATCGTCGACGCGAATCGACTTGGAACAGAAGGAAACAGTATCAAACAAACATTGAATCCTCCTTAAACGTACGTGAACACGATTCATTCAAAAACACAACGAAAATTGCTGAAATAAATCGGATTATCGACGAAAAATGCTTGGAAAATCGATAGAAATCGTTTGTACCGCCTCCGAGGGGTTGAAGCGTTCCAGGGGTGAGAATCTACCGCGAAACGTTCGTTTTCGTCGCGACTCCGACGAATCGATCGACCGAAAATATTCGCGGCTTACGCTTACGAGATTTGTCCGTCGAAAGGCAACCGATGCTCTCTGCGAGTCTACGTCAGCGAAGCGCGATAAACAAATAATTAGGGGAAGGGAAGACAACGAGCGGAAGGGTTGCTAAATAAAACAAGCCGAAAGTTCTCTGGGATCTCGAGGATCGATTCGCATTCGTCCGCCGTGGCGAATATTATTGATCGCTTATCGAACGATCTCGACGATGTTTAGACAAGCCTCCGATAAACAAGAGAAAACACTCGAGTGTCATAACAATCGAAGGTTAGACTATCTACGAATAACTTTATGTGTAAACAATAGGAAATAAAATTCCTTCGGTCATCGTAGCTACAATACTTCATTACGTTGAATAACAAATATACATTAACCCTTTGCCCAGAAGTTCTTCACCGGAAATATTCAATATTTTCTAATGAGATACAGACATCTTAGATTGAATTAAGAAATCTCACATGCATCGAGGAAGAACTGTTTTCTTTCAATATTTCGCACGTTGATGCATCGTACAAAGTTTAATATTTAATATCGAAGTTTACAATTCTGCTGTGTCAAAGATTTGGTGACTTAGAGGCTCCGGAGTAAAGGGTTAATGGAATATAAACAGAATTTAAAGAAAACTCGTTAACTATGCGAATTTCCACGAGTTCGAATAAAAGTAATTCAGTCGTGTAAAATACAGAATATCGATAATGTCTCGTTATTTAATTGTGGCTGCCAGATGGACGACCAATGCGAATCGAGCCGGAGCAATGGTGGAACCGGGGATCGGCGGGACGCGGAGCTTCTATCAAGAATAGAAGAGAGTGTTCGGGGAGTGTGTCGTGTGATCTACTAGATCGTGTCTCATTGCACACTTACGAAATCGTTTGATTCTCCTGAAAGCTGCTTGCGAACAGTTCAAGAGGATTGACTTCGGTCAAAAGCCGTCGGATTAGTTAAGAAAATTAAGAGGGGATTTCGTTCGTGTCTCGCTAGCTCCACAGACCGACAAAACGGAAGCGGATCGAGACTCGTTTCACGCCTCCTGTCGCCTCGCGACGCGTACAGGCTGAACATTGAACATTGAACACTCTGCGATTCCTCTCGTATCTTCCTGCAGCGAGAAATCCGCGTTGGAATCTGCTTTCAGGTTCGTTATCGTCGTTTGTCTCGATGAGAATTCGTTTTGATTGTTTCGAAGGATAGCTGAATCGAATGACAGGCTGATAAATGACTAGAAAACAATCGTAACATACATGATAACTGATGTGAAATGAAAATGTTTAATAAGCGTTATGCAAACATTGTAACGTCAAATAATTAATAATTGTTCCTGCTTTTCTTTGCTACAAAAGAACTCCACGGGAAAACGCTTGAGATTTCCGTGGCGCTTAACGCGTTAACCAGTGATTCTAGTTAGAATTCACCGACAGGTTGTACTTATCGAACGACCGTTTCTTCGAAGATCTACATCTTCCTTAAAGATGGCTACACGTGATTCTATAGTTTCACAGTTCCATGAAATAGAGAGGAATCGCGAGTGTTCGGTTCGTTGACCAGTCTGCACGACGCAGGCCGATTTCGGTGGAACCGAGGAGGACGCGAACTCGTGACGATCGTTGCTCGAAAATCACGGAGCGAGTGATCGCAGTGGTGCGCAAGAAGCAAGCGTAACGCTCGGCAAAAGGTGTCCCAATTGAACAGAACACTGCCTCTTCGGCATCGAGAATCGATGAGGAAGAAGCGCGTTAACGTGAATCCCGGGGAGAGCCTGCGACACAGACACATGTTTCAAGGTACGCTCGAATACAGTGCGAGTGTTCGATGGAAACTGCGGTCCCAGCGATCGCGGTGATCGTCTCCCGGAACAGAGAAGAATGGACTCGACAGCGTGCAAAGAAATCTCGCTGCGTCAGAGGTTATCGGAAAATAGTGCATCCGCGAGTAGAAATCAAGGATATGAAAAGAAGAGAATCACAATTGAGTCGAGGAAGAACAGAAGACGCTTGTTTGACTCGCGAACGGCTCATACCCATCGTTCAGTTTGGAATAACTAGCGATGGGTTTAAGAGTAGCGAACTTGTATCGAGGCAATCTCAAAATCGAATTTCCTACTATCTAGGTTGTTCCTTAACAAGTCGATTCTTCTCTCGACTCAACAGCACGAATCTCTGTTAAAAGCTGCTCGAAAGATCCCGATATCTCGGCTGTAGCGTTACGAATCATCGAAAGTCCTGGTGCATTTCCCGAAAGTCCTTTGCACTCGAGACACAGCGATAGATAAAGTTCTACACTCAATATTCGATTCCGTGTACCGTACACGAAATTTCGGGATAAAACAGTTCTACCGAAGATCTCTATCGACGATGATTCGAGTGCAAGGGTTGAACGCTGTGCGTGGACGAAGTTGTGCTAAGGACTGTTAAAGCCGCGTGTTCCCTCGCGCTCGCACCGTACACCAGCAGTTCACCTGGACCAGGACAAGAAACGTTGGTAGAGTGGTCAGCCGGATCGGAGACAGCGAAGATTTAGAAAAGAAATGGAAGATTAAACCAGGAGAGAGAGAGAGATAGGCGAGACACCGGTGGTAAGGGGCGAGGGAGGAGTGAGAGAGAGAGAGAAAGAGAGAGTTAAAAGGCGTGAGTGAGATCGGCCTTACCTGTGATATCGTTGGTCAGGTTGTTGCCATTGCTGGCAGCGTATCCGTTGAGCACGCCCGCGATCGAGTCCGAGCTGCCGGTGCTCTTCGCGGGCGAAGTCGCGGCGCCCGACGACGCTGACGAGGACGACGAATCCCCGCTGAGGGAGATATTGCTGCGCATGTGATTTTTCGCGTTTGGGGTGGTGGGTGGGGCATCGGGAGGGCCAAACAGGCGTTTGTATGAATCATTACCGGGCTTGTTGCGCGGTGTATCGTTGCTGCTGTTCGCGTTCGGACCGTCGCCGAACAACGCGCTGCCGAGCTGCGACTGGTTGTGGTTCTTCACGCGGCGAGGGCTCGTCTCTTCCGGCGCGGCACCGAAAATGTCGCTGCTTCCGCCACCAGGGGGTTTTAACACCCTGAAACAGTTTAAAGGTAATTGATTGTTAACGCTTTATGGAGATTCGTGGAGGACTCTGGTTGATTAGAGGCAATCAATGGTGTGTGATTGGTTTTGAGATAATTCTAGTTTGGTAGTTCAATAGTTCCATAGTTCTATAGTTCCATAGTTCCATAGTTCTACAGCTCTACAGTTCTACAGTTCTACAGTTCTACAGTTCTATAGTTCTATAGCTCTATAGCTCTATAGCTCTATAGCTCTATAGCTCTATAGGTCTATAGCTCTATTAGCTCTACAGTTCTATAGCTCTATTGCTCTATAGCTGTACAGCTCTACAGCTCTACACTTCTATAGTTCTGCAGTTCTATAGATCTGCAGTTCTATAGTTCTACAGTTCGAAAGTTCCATAATCCCACAACAACACACTGAAACTGCTTCACACGTAAGTAACGACCAACGTTCCCAAAAAGAAGCGACTCCATCACTGATTTCATCACGCTCGAGCCGTCGACTAGAATGAATCCGCTCGGAGAGGAAAGGGTTGAGAACCTTTGTCCGTCGGAGCGGTCCCCCAACCGCGCGGCGGAAGGACTCGATCCAATTTGTTCGATAAATCTGCGCTGATTTCGACGTAACGAGCCTCTCCCTTCCACGGCTCTCCGTCTCTCCTCCCTGTTTCGGGCTTGATGCGTGGCACGCGCTTTGTCGCGTGCCGGAGAGAAAAGGGGGAGCCGGAATACCCGCGTCGCTTCTCGTCAGCGGGACGACTACGCCGGCAATTAAAAGCACGGGCCACGTTCCTTCTTCTGCCGGGAAGTACCCGCGCGCCGGGTTTTAAAACCGGCTTCGTTAGAGGGACGGTTCAATTAACGTGGAGGCGGCTCGTGCGCGATGATTTTTCACCGTTCCCCGGGGGATGTTTTCAGAATTCGGGACCGGGAATGACTCATTCGGACGACTGCGGCTGGGGGAGTGACTCCGTGACGCATACGGCTCGAGGGTTAATTGACATTTCGGCCGCACGTTCTGTTGTGCTTCTCGCGCGATCGAATTCTATGATATTCGGGGGCAGCCGAAGTGGTAACGTCTGCTGCCTTCCGGTCTTTAACCCTTTGCGGTGCGAAGTGCTCTGGGTTTCTCACTTCGAGGTTCGCGTCGTTAGTTCATTCGATTACAACTTAATATGACGCTCTATTTATTCAGGAATATTTGGGAGTCATTGAAGTGTTACCTTATGATACTACGAATGAATGTAGAAAAATGGTTAAGACAAGTAGTTTGCAATAAAATAGAATAGTCCCACTCGACATAGGACTGCTAAGAGTTAACACGCTTCAACCGATCGGATCATTGATAACCAGTGATTCTAGTTAGAATTTTCCGACAGGTTTTACTTATCTAACGACCGTTTCAAATATCTGCATCTTCCTTAAAGATGGCTATCTGTAATTCCATAGTTTCACGGTTCCACGAAATCATCCGAGAACGATCGATTCTCACAGAACCGAACGTTGCTTCTTTCGATACAGGTTCCCTGGAGAACAAGCAACGTCGCTTTCCGTTCGGCGGGTTTCGAGGGAGATGAAATAAAATGTGATACAGATCGAGGAGTAAATGAACCCGAACACACTCTTTGATATCGACGCGCGCCGGGCTCGCGGAAACAGATTACCCAATTACGATTAATTAACATTCTCCCGCTGCGTGCGCGAGAGCCCGGCAGTCGTTGGCCCGCGATCGATCCAGTAATCGTTCCACTCTAATTAACGACGCAACACACACACCGGCCGCCGTTCCTTGGAT